TGGGTGTTGTGGGTGTGTGTGTGTGTGTGTGTGTGTGTTTGTGTGTGTGTGTGTGTGTGTGTGTGTGTGTGTGTGTGTACGCGCGGGCATCCACGCGTGTACGTATGTGTGTGTGTCAGGCTCAAAATGTCATGCACAGGGTGGGTCGCATATTATCTAGATGCCAAGAGGAAGGGCAATCAAGGAGCAGAGAGGAATCAACCTCAGGGAGGTGCTCAGGACAGACAGAAAAGGATGACGGCAGGGATACAGACAGAGACAGTGAGCAGAGAGGGGCAGTGACACATCCATAAACAGGCAGAGGATCAAGGAACACTGTGGAAATGATCGTTTACAATGACGAAAATGGGTAATGTCTAAATAATGAAACTGAATTCTTTGGATCATGAGATCTGCCTCCGTTATTCTCCTCCATAGATAGATCGATAGATAGATAGAATAAAAGTAATGCCTTATTTAAAGTAAAGTAATGCCAATTAATAATAAAAATGATAATAATATTCCAATAATATGACATACATGTAGATTGTATAATAACATAGGATTTTTACATACAACAGTATTTTTTCAGAGTGGTTTGACATGAGTTAGCCCAGAATTTCTTTCTACTTAAACAATTTAAGTAACTATTACTCAAAAATATTTTTAATCATTTTAGCCTGGGCCACTGCACTCAAAAACAATGCTTAAGTGTGAGGATTCGCAATACTTTACGGTATTTGATTTTCTCTCAGACAAAGTGAGATACCTGAAAACAAAACTTACTGTAATGGGCATTTTCCATTAGGCTACTTAACTGACTAAATTAGTTTTTGACTAATTGATAAAATAATCAATCATTTACTGACTAATAAAAACTAATCATTGGTTGCATCAATCTGATTACACTGTATTTTTAAAATCTTGAGAATATCAGCATTGATTGACCAATTGTTTAAAAACCTTGTTTAAAACACAGTATATATATGTTTATATATATATAGATGTAGATGTAGATGATCTTGCTACTTCTTCATTACATTACATTTACAGGAAAAGGCTGATTCAAACCCAAATTAGATCAAATATACTTGAATATTTCAGCAGTACTTAATAACTGTTTTGAGAGATAGTAAGTAGATAAAATATCAAGTGCATCTTCATCTCCTCTAATGCACCTTTTTACTGATCAAGCATTGATTGTGTTTTGAGGTCCCTTCCCAGCTCCTGTGCAATTTCAGTTTTTCATCTTAAGGAGATGTGAGTAAATAAGTCACAGAGCATATTGCATAAGCTCCAGTTCCCACAGCTCCACTGGTGTGTAATCTATTGATTTAGACTTGTGAGAGTCATTGACAGGGACAGGAACTCGAGTCCTGGAAATGTGGGATGATTTGTTAAGAATGGAAGGAAGCTGATCCACAGGATGACAATACCACCTCTGCATCCTCCATAAATGAACAATCCAGCATTACATAGCACTCCAAAGATCCACTATTGTCAGCCTGTTGGACTGGGAAAAAGGATGTGATGCTATTGATAAAAATGGATTGGCGATGATGATAGTTATATGAATGACGATGGAGATAAGATCAAGCAGCAATGATCAAGGCGTTTCCCTGGTGTTCTTGTCTTCCTCCTGCCGAGCACAGCTGTGAAAAACACACACACACACACACACCTGGAAGCAGTGTACAATGACTTGTGTCAACACAGCTGAATCCCTGTCCCTCTCCGCATCCTCCTCCCTCAAGGTGTGTGTGTCCAACGTCGTCCTCCCTATGGCGCCCTGTGACAGAGAGTCTCCCCGCCACGTCCACACACAACCACATCCTGAGTGTTACTCACAGACAGGAAGTTCTTCAGGGGAAGAAAAAGGTAGGTGAAGCACTGGGATACACACTGTGACTGACAGAGGAGCCATGATTGGTTAGTAACAGATTTTTTCAATCACCACAACAGCACTCTGAAATAAACTCAAAGGTACAACTGTGGAAAAGGATTTTAGTTGCAATTATCGGCAGAGTCTTTAACAAAAACTGAATAAAGTTCACCGAATTCCAATATCCACTCCACTCCAATTCCACTCTCTCTCTCTCTCTCTCTCTCTCTCTCTCTCTCTCTGACACACACACACACACGCACACACACACACACACCTACATTAATACTGACAACAGTTTGCATGTCGAGCTGCCCACTGTGTTGGAAGTGGGCAGGAGGTCTGGCTCAGAGACCCCTATTGTCCACTCAGTGGGCCAATGGAAAATATGATTCCTGCCATCAGTGGCAGAGGTAATGAGCCTGATGAATGTTCGTGCATGCGCGTGTGTGTGTGTGTGTGTGTGTGTGTGTGTTGCACATTGTGCTGGTTTGTTCATGCGGATGTTTGTGCTCTCCATAGACAGTGGGGGTCCTGACTGTGGCAGAGGCCTTTGTGTCTGGAGTGTATCGCTGCATTGCCTCCAACTCTGCAGGCAAAGACCAGCTAGACGTCCACTTCTACATCACAGGTGATCAAACACAAAATCAATCATATCCTCAGATATCAGATATCCTCAGATATTTCAATTCTTAAAAAAAATTAAAGTAAAAAAAAAACTATTTTAAGTTTCATAGTCACCCTTACACTCCTCAATATCCTCTTTCTTAAAATAACTAGTTTCAGTCTTCTTTCTGTCATCTGTCATTGCTTTTCTCACAACAGCTGACCCACTTGATACTTTGTCATAGGTCAAGGCATAATAATGTCAAGAAACATTATAGTATAGTAAGGCATAAAAACGTCTGGAAATGTCACACTATCAAAAAACCTCATAGTATAGCATAGCAAAAAAAACTCCACTACGAAATTTTTCAACCTGGGATTGAACGTGATAGTATAGTATGGCATAAAAATGTCAAAAAAACATCATAGTATAGTATGGCACATGGCAAGAATGTCGTGAGTTCATTCCCATGAGAGTTTGTGTGTTCTCCCAGTGCGCACGTCGGTCCTCATCTCCAAAGACATGCACAATAGGTCAACTGACAACCCTAACTGATATTTTTTGACATTTTTATGCCATGGTATACTATGACGTTTTTTGGCATTTTCATACCATACTATAATTTTAATAAAGAATTACAATAAAAAAAATATATTTTCAGTTTCAAAATCACCCTTTAACTCCTCAGTATCCTCTTTCTTAAAATAACTAGTTTCGGTCTTCTTTCTGTCATCTGTCATTGTTTTTTCAACAGCTGACCCACTTGATGCTTTGTCATAGGTCAAAGCGTAATAATGTCAAAAAATATTATAGTATAGTAAAGCATAAAAATGTCGTACTGCAGTATGACATAAAAAGTCATAGTATAGTATTGCATAAAACGTCATAGTATAGTATGGCATAAAATTTAAAAAAACATCATAGTATAGCATGGCATAAATATAGCGAAAAACGCAATATAGGAAGGCATACTAATGTCATAGTATAGAAAGGCATTCAAATGTCAAAAAACATCATAGTATAGTATGGCATAAAAATGTCAACAAAGGTCATAGTATGGCATAAAAACATAAGTTAGGGTTGCCAGTTGACCTATTGTGCATGTCTTTGGAGATGAGAACCGACGTGGGCAATGGGGGAACACACACACTCCACAAAGAAATTTCTCAGCCTGGGAAAGAACTCACAACCTTCTTATTGCAAAGCAACAGTTCTAACCAGTGTGGTATTGTTTCCCCATATTTGTCATCATATGTAAAGGCATGAAGACATCATACGTCACAGTATAGTATGGCATAATAGTGTCAAAAAACGCCATAGTATAGTATGGCATAAAAATATGATGCCATATATGGGGAGAAACAATAGTACAGTGGTTAGCACTGTTGCTTTCTAATATGAAGGTCATGAGTTCAATCCCAAACTTAAAAATTTCTTTGTGGAGTTTGTGTGTTCTCCCAGTGCCCATGTTGTTTCTCATCTCCAAAGACATACACAATAGGTCAATTGGTAACCCTAATTGATGTTTTTTGAAAATTTATGCCATACTATACCATTATGTTTTCTGAAAATTTATGCCATACTATACTATGATGTTTTTGGAAATTTTTATGCCATACTATACTATGACGTTTTTTGAAAATTTATGCCATGCTATACTATGAAGTTTTTAAACATTTTTATGCCATACTATAGTATGACCATCCATCCATCCATTTTCTACGGCTTATCCTCTAGTAGGGTCGCGGGGGGGGGCTGGAGCCTATCCCAGCATCCTTTCGGGCGAGAGGCGGGGTACACCCTGGACAGGTCGCCAGTCCATCGCAGGGCACACAGAGACAAACAACCATTCTATACTATGACGTTTTTTGAAAATTTATGCCATACTATACTATGACGTTTTTTAACATTTTATGCCATACTATACTATGACGTTTTTTTGACATTTTTATGCCATACTATACTATGACATTTTTTGAAAATTTATGCCATACTATACTATGACGTTTTTTGACATTTTTACGCCATACTATACTATGACATTTTTTGAAAATTTATGCCATACTATACTATGACGTTTTTTGACATTTTTATGCCATACTATACTATGACGTTTTTTTGACATTTTTATGCCATACTATACTATGACATTTTTTGAAAATTTATGCCATACTATACTATGACATTTTTTGAAAATTTATGCTATACTATACTATGACGTTTTTTGACATTTTTATGCCATACTATAATATGACTTTTTTTGACATTTTTATGCCATACTATACTATGACATTTTTTGAAAATTTATGCCATACTATACTATGACATTTTTTGGCATTTTTATGCCATACTATACTATGCTGTTTTCGAAATTTATGCAATACTATACTATGACGTTTTTGAACCTTTTTATGCCATACTATACTATGACGTTTTTCGAAAATTTATGCCATACTATACTATGACGTTTTAGTGAAATACTATACTATGACATTTTTTTTTACATTTTTAGGCCTAACTGTACTTTGATGTCTTTATGCTTTAATATGATGCACTATATGGTGAGAAACAGTAGCACACTGGTTAGAACTGTTGCTTTGCAATAAGAAGGTTGTGAGTTCTTTCCCAGACTGGGAAATTTCTTTGTGGAGTTTGTGTGTTCCCCCAGTGCCCACGTCGGTTCTCATCTCCAAAGACATACACAATAGGTCAATTGGTAACCCTAATTGATGTTTTTTGAAAATTTATGCCATACTATACCATTATGTTTTCTGAAAATTTATGCCATACTATACTATGACGTTTTTTGACATTTTTTTGCTGTACTATACTATGATGTTTTTTGACATTTTTATGCCATGCTATACTATGACGTTTTTAAACATTATTATGCCATACTATACTATGACGTTTATGAAAATTTATGCCATGCTATAGTATGACGTTTTTTGACATTTTTTTGCTGTACTATGCTATGACGTTTTTTGACATTTTTATGCCATACTATACTATGACGTTTTTTGAAAATTTATGCCATACTATACTATGACGTTTTTTGGCATTTTCATGCCATGCTATACAATGACGTTTTTTGAAAAATTATGCCATGCTATACTATGACGTTTTTAAACGTTATTATGCCATACTATACTATGACGTTTTTTGACATTTTTATGCCATACTATACTATGAAGTTTTTTGACATTTTTATGCCATGCTATACTATGACGTTTTTTGATATTTTTTTGTGGTACTATACTATGATGTTTTTTGACATTTTTTATGCCATACTATACTTTGACGTTTTTTGACATTTTTATGCCATGCATGCTATGAACTCACAACCTTCTCATTGTAAAGAAACAGTGCTAACCACTGTACTATTGTTTCTCCCCATATATGGCATCATTTATTAAACCATGATGTAATCATAGTATAGTAAGGCACAAAATGTCAAAAAACGTCATAGTATAGCATGGTATGAAAATGCCAAAAAATGTCATAGTATAGCATGGCATGAAAATGCCAAAAAATGTCATAGTATAGTATGGCATAAATTTTCAAAAAACGTCATAGTATAGCATGGCATAAATTTTCAAAAAACGTCATAGTATAGTATGGCATAAAAAGGTTTAAAAACATCATAGTATAGCATGGCATAAATTTCGAAAACAGCATAGTATAGTATGGCATAATAATGTTTAAAAACGTCATAGTGTAGTATGGCATAAAAATGTCAAAAAACGTCATAGTATAATATGGCATGAAAATGCCAAAAAACGTCATAGTATAGTATGGCAAAAAAAAGGCAAAAAACATCGTAGAATGAGAATATCAGTTAGGGTTGCCAATTAGCTTCTTATGCATGTCTTTGCACAAGAGAACCTAGGTGCACACTGGGAGAACATACAAACTCCACAAAGAAATTTCTTAGCCTGGGATTGAACTCTCAACCTTCTCATTGCAAAGCAACAGCTCTAACCAGTGTGCTATTGTTTCTCACCATATAGTATATCATATTAAAGCATAAAGACATCAAAGTATAGTAAGGCCTAAAAATGTAAAAAACTGTCATATAGTAGTATTGCACAAAAACGTCATACTATAGTATGGCATGAATTTTCAAAAAACGTCATAGTATAGTATGGCATAAAAAGGTTTAAAAACATCATAGTATAGTATGGCATAAATTTCGAAAACAGCACAGTATGGTATGGCATAATAATGTTTAAAAACGTCATAGTGTAGTATGGCATAAAAATGTCAAAAAACGTCATAGTATAGTATGGCATAAAAATGTCAAAAAACGTCATAGTATAGCATGGCATGAAAATGCCAAAAAATTTTATGGTATAGTATGGCATGAAAATGCCAAAAAATGTCATAGTATAGTATGGCATAAATTTTCAAAAAACGTCATATTATAGTATGGCATAAAAATGTTTAAAAACGTCATAGTATAGCATGGCATGAAAATGCCAAAAAATGTCATAGTATAGTATGGCATAAATTTTCAAAAAACGTCATAGTATAATATGGCATGAAAAGGTTTCAAAACATCATAGTATAGCATGGCATGAAAATGCCAAAAAATGTCATACTATAGTATGGCATAAAAATGTCAAAAAACGTCATAGTATAGTATGGCATAAATTTTCAAAAAACTTCATAGTATAATATGGTATGAAAAGGTTACAAAACATCATAGTATAGCATGGCATGAAAATGCCAAAAAATGTCATAGTATAGTATGGCATGAAAATGCCAAAAAACGTCATAGTATAGTATGGCATAAAAATGTCAAAAACGTCATAGTATAGTATGGCATAAAAATGTCAAAAAACGTCATAGTATAATATGGCATGAAAAAGTTTCAAAACATCATAGTATAGTATGGCATAATAATGTTTAAAAACGTCATAGTATAGTATGGCATAAATTTTCAGAAAACATAATGGTATAGTATGGCATAAATTTTCAAAAAACATCAATTAGGGTTACCAATTGACCTATTGTGCATGTCT